CATGCAAGCCCAAAACGCCATCTGCTTTGTCATTTATGGGCAAGTTGTTACCATTGTAGAGGTACAGAAGTTGGCTTTAAAGCATCCCATAATTGGGTGTCCAAAGTTTTTCATGCTGGCAGAGGTCAGTGCCACAAGCCTGTACCGTTTTTTTCTTTGTATAAGTTGCTGTTTTTTGCATAATTTACAAGCCCTGAGATTTATAGGCCGAAGCAACACATTTATGGATTTTTCCCCATATTCATAAACCATTTTTTCGCTGAGATATGACCGTTTTCATTCATTCTGACTGAAAAAAAATTGAGCAGTACCACTTTCAGCCACTTGATGGAAGCAGAGTAGTAAAAGTAGTATGGCATGCTGTTGTATCATGTAACAGGAAAACGAGGCTATAATGAAAAATTCAAAGAAGTTCAAAACAAAATCTACTAGACTTTATTCATTATACTTTATACTTTTTTTCCTTGAACTTTTTTGAATTTATCATGTCCTGGATGACTAAAAATCTTCACCAGCTTTTAATGATGCAATCGGCCTGCCAATGCCTCTCCACCTTGGTTCTGCTTGCTGCTTGGACTGACCGTCAATCCAGCTGCACTGCCCAGGCGAAATGCAGCTAATGTGACCCATTAAAGTGCATTTATTAAGCAAATGTTAGACTGACACACATTTGCTATTATTTCGAGCAAACAAATAATTATTTAGGTGCATTTCTTGTTAATTTTCAGAGAAACGAGCTGCGTTCCTTCTTCCTTTGCGCGTTCATGGAGCACCGAGGCAGCAAACTATTTTTGAAACGCGGCTGATTTGACCATTAAAGTGCATTTATTAAGCAAACATTAGATTGATACACATTTTAATATAATTTTGAGCAAACAAACATTTGTTTTTAAGTGTTAATCTTGTTAAAGTCCTCCCGTGCACGCTCCTGTGGCCACCATTTGGTGGCCTATTGGTTTTTGGCACAACACCGGCCCACATTTCTGGGTTGTCAGCGGTGACGCATAATAGATGCGATGTATACGGCGAAGCAACATATTTATGGATATTTCCACTTTATTAGACAAATATGAACAGATGCAACTTATAGTGTGGTGCGACGTGTACAGCGGAAAATACGGTAGTCACACAATCGAGGTTCAGTATTTTTATTCGTCACAGATATGATCAAGGTAATTTTAAACTGTGCAGGTACGGCAGTTTACTGGAGAGAACGATCTTGGAAGATTTATGTAAAAGCATCAGTCTTTCAATGTGTGACCCAGTATATTTGAAGCTCCAGCAGCGTTGTGTGGATTGATGCTTTGACTCTGCTAGTTGAGGGAAATTTAAGTAGAACATCCAGTTCTTAGTCTCGTGCTGCGTTTTTCTTTTTCGGAAGTTTGGATTCCAAGCGAAGCCATGGTTATTAAATTATGTTTGGGATTATTTAGAGATGGTTGCAATGACGCTTATCTTGTAATGATGACGAATAATTTTGTTCTTGTAATAAAAAAATATATATTCCAACTAAAGAAAATATCTTTATCATAGATCAAATTGAAATTCATTGCTTTCTGGCAGAAACCTTGCGTCTCTAAAAACTATTTTTGAGGAAATGGAAAAAAAAAATTTTTTCATTTAATTAACAGTGTGGTGAAAGTTCTCAAGCTTACTTGGACACTTCTCAATAGTTAGCCAATGAAACTGCAGAAGTGTGACCAGTTGGGTTGATATATGAGGAAAAAAAAAACTGAACTTGATGAAAATTGGAGAAACAAGGTCATGGGTCCAAAAGCAACAACTTTAAGGAACATCAGCACATTTACATGACGTACCTGGTGTAGATGTATATCAGCTCGTCTGTGTGGAAACCGCTTCTACAGTGAGTATAAAATCTGATATTCTGTTTATTTCCATGCAACAATATAAAATGAATATTCAAAATATAAAAATGAAAAGACACATTTTTGGGCACACACTGAATTTGTGGGTTTTTAAAAATACATTCATCTTAAACTGCTGCAAACGAAGAGCTCTGAAAAAGATGCACCTTATTTTTTAACCAAATGCTGTGTTTACTTTTTGGTAGCCGAGTGCGAAACAGCAGCCACATTGCTCGAACAGCTGACTGAAAGTTATATGAATGAAGTGATCCTTGAAGACAGGTGGGGGTGGAGGCAGGGACCAGACAAATGTCATGATAATCGTGGAAAAACTCAAATTGAGCAAGATGTGGGCGCCCTGCAGAGCAACAGAAAGAAAAAGCGAGGGAAAAGCTTAAAAGGAAACGGACGTAGGTAGAGGAGTATGCAAAAATACCACAGTGAGTGCTGGACAGATTGGCCATCTGGACCTCTGAGCTGACAGTTTGACATGTTCCAAGAGCGGCAAACATGGAGCAAATTAGCCAAGTCATGGCCCCCCTCCTGTGACATGCAACACATTGCGCAGGAAGCCTAATTAGAGGGCTGGTGGGACTCGCAGTGAGCGTCACCGTGAACAGAACGATCGAACAGAGATCAATGGTCTGCGCTCTAAATTAATGAGGCTAATGTTGATGTGACAGCCTTTTCATGGGGAGATCTACGGGGAGAACTTCCACTCTTGACTGGAGACATGGAGAAGTACACAGAACGCACGAGAAGCATCGTTGAATATTTTAATTTGACCAATTAATATTGCTCACCGGTAAAGTCATCGTTTTAATTAGAAAAGATTCGGTTGAAAGTGAACAAAGGATACGGCTTCTGACGTAGTATCAAGAAACTCCAAGCATACGTTTACATTAGAAAATTATTTTGCTTTTGTATAAAGATAACATTTAAAGGTTGAAACTGACAATCCACAACTCAGTGGGTCTCAATTACCAAAAAAAAAAAAAGATACAAGCCCACTCACAACCGTGAACAACAACACACGTAGTCCTTAGAGGGGAGGGCGAACTGGGTGATTATTCTAAGGCAATGGTTCCCAACACTTGTCCTTGAGGAACTCCGTCCTGCATGTTTCCTTGATATGACTCTCCTGATTCTAATTAATGGGTGATTAGCCAATCCTTAATTTGAGCTGGATTCTGCCAGAACAAGGTCTCTTATTTTGACAGGGTGTGTTCCAGTAACTGATTGCTTGGATCCGGTAACACTCAGCCTTACTAATGATAAAGTTATGAACAAATAAGACTTAGATTGGAAATGTAAACTGAAAGTATTTGCTTTTTTTTTTAATTCAGACGTTATTTATACAGGTTAGTCTCATTGAGCCACAAGGACTCATTTACAAGAGGGACCTGTTCAAGACAGAACACATTGTTTACTGTTTTTGTTGTCTGTACGTTACGTCAACAATAAACTATAGTAAAAATGCAGTTAAAATAAAAGTAGTGTATAAAACAATAAACCGGGGTGCGGTAAATGGTACATAAACACTCATTTTAAACACCACTTATGAGCATCTACTCTTAAAAAAAAATCACCACCCCTAAAAGAGTGGTGTGGGTGAGTGCTGAACAAGCTAACCAAGCAGTTGTATGTGGGCAGGAGCTCCCAGACGGGTGTCTGGAGTTTTTACATGTGGAGTTGGACAACAACGAGCAGGAAAAGAGTCTGGATTGGGTCCAAGCCCAACTTACTTGATGGTTCCATCAATTAAGGGGGAGGGAGCGATGATTCTTGACAGAAGGGGAGTGTTTACAAATGTAGTTCGATGTATATGTTTAACGACCCGTTAAAATACACCAAAATGCAGGAAATTGCATCTACTTTGTTCAAAAATTTCTGGGGGAGGACCCATAGACCCCGCCCCCTCCCTGCTGGCTCGCCCAATATTTGCGTTCCATAGATTTGCTTGCAAATTATGCCCTGTGATTAACCGGCTTCTGCAGAACTTGAAGTAATTAAATCACTGAATCAGGCGTGTTGGCGCAGGAAACAACTGAAACATGCAGGATGGTGTTCCTCAGGGACCAGTGCTGGGAAACCACTGTTCTAAGGAAAGTCAAGCGTGTATTAAAGAAAAAAGTTGTACAATATAAAGCAAAGCTGACGGTTATCTTTCAAACGAGCTTCCTGCCGCTGCAAGACCATTTATTCACAAAGACAAACATGTTGCACCCAAAAAGCCACTTCAGTAGCAAAGCACTGCTGGACATGGAAGGAGTTGAGGCGTCTTTGTGTTTTAAATGGATTTCTGAAAAAGAAATTAAATAAAAACAGATCCCGGATCAGTTCTGATGGACTTAAAGGTGAGCCAAAAGCAAACAAAGATCCAATTGGCTCTTTGGTATTTGGTGCTCAAACACATATTTATAAAGTACAACAACATTATAAACATTAGAATTGTAGGAAATTACATTTTCATCACTGATTGGAGCTTTTTTTTTATTCTTGCCTCGTACTGTCCTTCGATTGAACTGGATTGTTGATGTGTATTTGCATTTGAAAAGAATTTAGGAAACATTAAAGGGGAAAAAATAGCAAACAGCATTTTTCACAAGCTTCAAACAATATTTCCAGATGCTGCAAAACTTTCACCAGACGAATTGAATTCCTTTTTACCGATGGGTGCTTGGGACTCTTAGTAGTTTTCTGCTCCAGTGAGGCACCATCATAGCATAATTATAATGTTTTTTATTATAAAAGATTCTGAAAAATTATAGATTGAAGCTTTATATTGATTCAAAATATGGAAACTAACTTCAAATTCCACACAGTAGCACCATCTTTGATGCTTTTACTGGTGATGCGTTGCCTTCACGCTTATTGTACACTGCCAAGTGGTCCTTGAGGAAATGAAGAACCATATTGTTTTTTATACAAAAAGATTCCAGTTTATTATACTTGTTCCTTTAGGAGTCATCTTCTAAGGCTCTGCTGTTCTCCTCACATTAGGAAAACAACCACTAGTGTTTGTGATGTGAGCATCCTGGAACGTGCCAAAGCTGAGGGACCCCAAAACAACCAAAAACATAGAAAACTATTTAAAAAAAAAAAAAAAAAAGCTTTTTCTCCTCTTCTCATTGGTCCATTGTCGTTTAAATATCTTCTTGAATTGGAATGACAAGATCCAGGTTAGTTTATGTCTCTTTGATTTGTGGCAGCCTTGCAGAGGAAGTTCTTTCGGAGAATTAATGGATTGTAGGCACATCTAACCAGGCTCCAGGTAGCGGGCGCGGGCAGGTGTACTCATTCTGCAGAAAATAAAAAAAGATAACAAAACAAAGTTAACACAATTGAACAGCTGCTCTCTGCTAGTTGAGCAGTTGGTGGTAATAATGTCAAATTAATTGCGGTGCTCAGCGATTCATTAACGGTACAACGTGATTGTGACGGCGCCGCCAAAGCAAATAAAGGAAAGCAATTAAGTTGATAAAATCCCAAGTGGTTAGACATGTTAATGGGCTGTGGTGGTTGCTTCACAAAGCTCTTATTATTAATTTTGAAAACAATAATTAATTTAAGGAGAAAATCGTTCAACTTTTTTTTAGGTAAATTTGCACACTTTCACTAAAAACTACTTTCAGTTAAAACCTGAAAAGACAAAGTGTGTTAGTCGTTGCACCAGAGAGCAGTTTTACACACATGGGTCAACAAATGGGCCGTTTAGACCAGTCAGGTCTGAGGAACGTGGTTGTTTTTGGTCTGTTAGTCTCACTCGACTATCATAAAATTATTATTTTCCTCCTTAATACTTAAAAATTAAGAAAGCTGGCGTCAAAACCTGAAATACAGTTATTAATCCATTATGGTTTGACTGTGTTCCTATAGAACTAACAAGAAATCACGAGACCAGTTGCAATTAGGCCTGTCGTGATAAACAATAAATCGATTAATCGCATGATAAATGAAAATTATCAACTCATTGTAATTTATCAGTTTTATAATTTCTTCGTGTCTCTCTTTCTACTGAAGACACCGGATGAAAAAAGCTCAACTCCGGTGCTCGTCACTGACCCCTTCCTTTCTCTTTACTCTTTAAAATCCATTTTAACTGTTCAAAAATCACATTTTTGGATTATTAAAAGCAGCTAAGCTGAGAAGCTAAGCTAAGAGCTAAGCTAACAGGCCGACCTCGAGGAAAAAACCTCCATCATGTTGAAGCTCCAAAACTTACAGTTGAAACCCTTGCCTTTGTGTAAAAAGTAGTTTTTCTCTGCAAAAAGAAACTGAGAACTTGTTTACTTTTTTTTTTTTTTATTATTATAAAGCTTTGTGTGGAAAATGCTGTGCTAAAGAGCTCAAACCACACCGAGCGTCCGCCATTTTGAGAACCAAAGAAAGGAAGCACAGCCCATGTCACGTCAAGGGGCCTCCCTCCCATTTTTGTTCAAGAGACACGCTGCTCGCTCCCTCACTATCCATCCTTCGGTTCAAACAGTCTTGTACTGCCATCCGGTGGTCGAAAAAGGTACTTCACACAAAACAAATTAAACATTTCTTCTTAAAATTGTCAATAATTACTAATTATTGTCAAATTTCAAACAATATTATCGTTTATCGGAATAATTTCTGAGACAATAAATCGCCCAGCAATATTTGTTATCGTGACAGGCCTAGTTGCGATATGCGGTTGACCTGACTGTTGGGGACTTCTTGTTGGATGTCCCTAAAGCTAGGTTGAAGACTAGAGGTGACGGAGCCTTCTCTGTGGCAGCACCCAGACTGTGGAACAGCCTCCCTCTGTCTGTTAAGATCTCTCTGTCAGTAGATCAGTTTAAGTCCAGACTGAAAACACATCTGTTCTCTCCGGCCTTCACTCAAATTAGTACCTGACCGACTCGAGTTTTGGGGAAATCGCAGCAAATATGCAATAGTTGTCTTGGTTTTTATTAGTACTATTGTTTTATTGGTATTTTACTGCTTCTTTTATCAAAGTTGTATTTTTATTAAACTCAATTTGATTTCTTTTATCATATTTTTATCTACAATGTTGTGATTCTTGTGAAGCACTTTAGTCAGTCGTGGTTGTTTTTAAATGTGCTATATGAATAAACTTTGAATTGAATTGAATTGAAACCTTTAGAGGTTTTAGAGTCAAGTTTCTCAGAAAATTTCAGACATGTTAAAACCTCACACACCACGTGACCTTGCATCTAACCAGAAATTATTTCCTAAGATTTGACTCAAAAGGATCGTTCCTTAAAGCCGTCGCACCGCAGCTAAATTGCCAAAGTGGCCGGTTACTAGAGGATGGATTTGTTTTTCAATCATTGGATAACCATCTACCACTGTTTAACTTTTAGTCTCGATATAGCTAAGCCACCTTAGTAAACACAAAAATGGCAAGTATTCAGCTGATTTGACAGATACTTGGCTAAAGTTTAGCATAGCAGTAGCTGGGAGTAATCCTTGAACTATGCTTGGAACTCTAATTAATGATATTTGTTAAAATGTGGCCATTGACTAACAGAGTGAAATGTGTCAGCAAAATATCACATAGATGATGTCAAGGAACAGTAGGTTCTTTATTATTTGAACATCCCTGCTTTTTGTTGTTTTAAAAGGAAAGCACACCGTGATTTTCTTAATTTGCAAATGACAGCTCAAGTAAAATATTTTATGTCCATATGCATGGCATGCAACTTAAAAAAAAAGAAGTTTTATAGCAATATCTTGATATAAATGTGTAAATCTTTAAAGGTGAATGCATCCAGTAAATGACTAAACTGTAAGCTGTTTAGAGTAAATGCAACTACAGTTTAGTCTAAATGTAATAAACTACATCACCAGTAGAGCAAACATTAAAGTAATTTATAGTAACCACTTTATAAGCAGCGTAGAATAAATTTCACAAGATGAATTTAGATCACAGACCATAATAAGCTAACCATGGTGGGTGAATACATCGGCACCTTCAAATGTCAGAGTTTGCCCACAGAACAGTTGCTGAAATGTTGCAAATTAGTGAGATTTTGACATTTTCTTTTAATTTAAGAGCGCCGGGCTTTGAACTAAAGTATGCAGAGGCACAGTCAACCTTCTCATTCAGGTCTACTTCCAAGTAAACCATTCCTTTACTTTTTATGAGTTTTTATGTGTCACAGGTAGAGGTCAACCAAAAGTAGTTTCACCAAAATAAGACCAGACTTTTGTTGGGACAAGCAATTTCTAAAGATTTCCAAAATAATCCTGGCTCAGCCTTTTTTGTCGCTCGAGCCGAGATTGTTGTCAGTTTGAAGCATGTCTCAGCAACACAAAGCTCAGTCAAGTGTGCCCTGAGCAGAACTTTTGATTTAAGCGTTATCAACTGGGCTGACAAGTCTTCAATCAACTCTTTATCTTCCTCTCAGGTGGATGTGAGTGAGAGAAGACTGCTGCACAAATTGTCATACCTTAGACAATTGCAACGGAGCACAGAACTGTAACAAACCGCAGCCGAATCTCCGGCTGTGCTGTGAACACGAACACACGAGAGCAGAGGCACTAAAGTAAAAGTACACCGCCCACTCGGAAGGCAGGCAGACACAATTTAAAATAAATTGGGGCAAAACGGTATCTATTCAGCGTTTTTACCATTAAAATACCTAAAAACATCATTAGTAGCATTGTACCTGTAATGGAGCATGCACTGATACTGACGGACCTTTTTATTTTCTATAATGGAAATAATGTAATTATACTTTGTATTATAGCTTTTAAAGTAAAGCACTAAGATAAAGATGGGCCTTGTTGGAGAAATTTATGGACAAATGTATCCTCATTCATGCTCAATAATCCAGGTGGAAAAATCTAACAAAGTTAAGTCAGGTCCTCAGGTTGGATTAAAAAAAATTGTTGAAACGTTTCATCTTTTATTCAAAAAACTTCGTCAGTCTGAGGAGCTGCACTAAACTCTGCCTTATAAATACGTATCACCTTCTTCATAGTGGATCAACCAGTCTGCTGGTGACAGCCATTCACATGTAAAGGAGGACCATCAGCCTAATGACCGATCGTTAGTGCCCTGATGTAGAGTTACACTCGGGTCCAAATAATCTGAACCAACTTGGCCCCAGCCAATAGCCATCATTTCCAAACCCCACCCAATCCGACAAATTAACAGTAATTACAGGTCCGACCCCCCCCCCCCCCCCCCGACATTTTTAATTAAGCGTTGGCTGATTATACTACTGACTATTATTAACAGTTGGTGGACGCGTGCAGCTGAGGGGGCAGACGATCGGAGCTGAGGAGCCATCAAAGCGCATGAAATGCTTCCCCTGCTTCTGCCTGCATTGGACCCTGCTTTGACATGTCAGATATTTTGTGATCTCACCTGTTTGGCCGCGCGCGTCTGCTGAGTGCAGAGGCTGAATGAACGTCCATTTGGGCTGATGGATTTCTGGCAGTGGTCCATCTGAAGCATAACTGAACCTTTACCTCTTTCAACTAGCCGGTCAGCGTGCAGTGTATGCCAGGTGTAGTATGGCAAGCCATGTTTGCATATATTGGATTGTCGGCTGTGCGCGCCCCTGACGCAATAAAAAGCCAGACAGTGACCCAGCCCGCACATTAAGCACATTATTATGGCCCGGCCTGGTCCAAATCCGGGTTGGGCGAGGCTGGGCTCCAGGTTTGGGTTAGAAATGACAGCTCTACCCTGATGGCTGCTTGCTATTCAGAGGGCTCAGTGATGCTAGCAATAACAGCATTGTAAGAAGGTGAAAATTGGACACGGAGGCCTCCGCTCCGTTTAATGATGGACGGTTTCTCTTCACAAAGATGGTTCCTTCACTCCTCTCTCAAACCAACATTCCTCTCTATCAAGGATGTGCACATCATCCTCCCTGAAACAGTGACTGCTGGCTTATGCCTTAAGCCAGCAGTCCATCAGGGCACTAATGATCGGTCGTTAGGCTGTTATCTTCATCCCTGAAAGAGGGTTGGTCCACTATGTTAGATGTTAATTATAAGACTGAGTTTAGCGCAGCTCCTCAGACTGACAAAGTCTTTTGGATAAAAGACAAAACTCTTCAATATATTTTTTTAACCCATGCAGAATACCTGACTTAACTTTCTTAGACTTGTACAACAACGCTTCTCTCAGTATTATCACAGTTGTCCTGGGCATTGAAGTTGGTCAATAAAATATGCACATCACAGAATACAGTTTTACATATCTACACACAAAAACAGCTGCACAGGTTGCAAGTCACTTGTTTGGCGACACTCAGAATTCAAGGAGACTGCAAGTGAAGTTTTACCTTCACAG